ATTCAGGCTGTGTTCGCACGGTTTGTTAATGGGGAATCATAAAATCAAATCCAGATTCACAGTATCCTGAATTTTGTATCAATAGCTAAATGAGGTAATGGCGCTCCGCTTAATTTTGCGTCTGGATTTCCCCTCATTTTGTTTCCTGTCTCCTGGTGCTGCAGGGCAAATATAATGAGCACTAAGCAATGCACCTTTCAACAACGTGTTATAAAGAGCAGCGTGTTACATAACTGCAACATAACTGCCAAACTCTGTGTTCTGCATGAGAGAGAAGGAGAGGAGTGAGAGCTCAAGGGCACTGCAGTGTGTTCAGATTCACCCTGATAAAAAAAAGGAGGGAGAAAAAAAAGAGAGTTATTCATAGAGATTGAGGAAAAGAAGGGGGGGGGGAGGAGGAGGTATTGGAATGGAGGAGGTATTGATTTGGTTAGAGAGAGGATGGGGAAGATTAATGAAAATCAGTCGAAAGGAGAAGGCAAGCGAGGAGAGATGGCAATCATAAGGATTTGGATTTAGAGTCCATGTAACAATTCTGCTTTCTTAAAAATCACATCACGTTCACATTAACGTTCGCATCTCCTACTTTTCTTAGTGATATTTAGCACCAGGAAGAGACGATTTTGTTCCCTTTGACTCACTGGACAGTGCTTTATTCACAAATGTTCCATGCGATAATCCAATTTAGTTAAATTCACAACTTTAGATGGAAACATAGCTTGTGTTGTCGCCTCGCATCAACTGCGTCTGGGCCAAAAGGCTACACTCGAACACACTGCAAAGACTACAACTGGCTGCCAACTAGCATGTGTGTTCTGTGCCTGCGTGTAAGGAAATGACTACATCAGCAGGTATCAATAGTCTTATTTTCATAATTCAAAAAAGAAAACCAAATCATAAACAAAGAAGCTCTTGCTTGCCATTTTGAATCATGCTGATCACTTTCTTCATTCCAGCCGGCTCATGTTGTTATGAAAATATGTTATGAAAGAATGCTCAGGTAAGATGACGTCAAATTAGAACCAGCCTTCTGACTGCGCCATCATGACTACTTTGCTCGCTTTCATAAGTTTCGCTTTTATTCCCTTGCACTGGCTGACGCCGATTCAACACGCTGAACTCATTCCAAACCTGTATGAGTTTCTTTTTTTGTGTGGGACATAAAATTGTATATTTTGAAGAATTTTGGTAACCAAACAGTTGCTGGTCCCCATTGACTTCTTACCATGGAAGTCAAAATATATTATTTTATGTTCCATACAAAAAACTCATTCAGGTTTGGAACCACATGAAGGTGAGTAAATGATGGCAAAATGTCGATTTTTTTTTTTTGGGGTGAACTATCCCTTTAAACCCAGCCCTGTATGTGAAGAAGTCAGCTATTTTCCTGCACATATCTTCCCTCGTGAACGACTCTTCGGGGAAAGGCAGTCTGGTGCGTTTAATGCTGGTTAGTTACCCGAGTGTGCACTAAGAACCCCATTCTCCACCCTTGATGAGCCACTGTGCGTGTTTGGCTTGTAGAAGAGCACATAAAGCAGTGAATAATACCTGTTCGGGATAATGACGGCTTTTCAATGTGTTCTGCCTTGTATTTTGCTCTACATTTTGGTCATTGAGATATATAAAAATGTTATTTGTGTCTGTGTGTGCATTAATTATTACAAAAAGAGTTGCTGCTATTGAGGGTTGTGTGTTGTTTTTATTCTGTTTTTTTTTTTTTACATTCCAAAAGAGATGGGTGAAACATATACAACTAAAACATCCTTGTATTTTTATAATAATTTTGGTGGTTAAAGTATTTCTTTGTTATATGATCACATGTAACTGTTTGTCAGCATTACAATCATTGAAGATCTGTATCAAGGAATCTGACATTTTTTGTATTTTAGTATCATTATAGTATTTATTAATATTTTTAATTGTTTTTTAACTCCGTTTGCATTGTGATATTAGTTTTAGTTTTTTATTTAGTTTTTATTAGTCTTTATTTTTCTCAGTTTGTATTAAAAAACAGTTTTATTTTTATTTTTTTCCCATTTTATTATTTAAATTGTATTAATGTTATTTTTTAAATTTTGGGGTTTTAGTTAACAATAATATGTATTTTCCTAGGTATGACCTACTTTGTTATGAAAATGTTGAACTGACTAGATATTATTCTTTATGAGCTTGAGTAGCCATCTTGATCACAACACCATGCCCATTTAAATACATTTAATAGTGTGTGTGTGTGTGTGTGTGTTTTTATATATATGTATGTATTGATTCATACTTGAAATACAAATGGAAGTCTGCCGCAGAAATCTCAATTAACTGATTCGAAAAAATCCTTATAAATGCAACAAGGTCATGGAAATTAATTGGTGAAAAATTGCCTGATTCGTGCTTCTATGGCACAAGAATCATAGAAGATGTGTTGTCTAGTTCTTAATTTTCCATTGGATGATATTTGATAAGAAAAAGAATCAGTGAATCCTGAGGCAGTCAGTTATATCACATCTGAAAATGGTCTGCAATTTAGATTTCCCTGTTACATCTGTGTGGCAGTTTGATATCCTTCATTATGCCATCAATCAGACGGTCGTACTGAGGAAGATATTAGTGCAGAGAGAGAGAGAGAGAGAGAGAGGGTGTTGTGTACTGGTGTGAGGGGCACCTTCATCCACGAACAGCTCAAGGTGATCCTGTCACAGCCTGATTAATGACTCACGGTCTGCAGAACACAAGCGTCTCAGAGCCGCCACTGCACATGTGCATGTTCTTTTTTATGTGCAAAGTACAGCCAAACCTGCTTTACATCACTTTCAATTGTCAATTTAATTGACCTGAGGTGAGGGCAAGCATGGATGCATAATAGCTTCACTAGAGGGCACTATTGGATTATTTAATGAAGTCACGTGTGGTTAAAAAAAACCTGCATTCATGATTGTGACCTGAATGCACTTCGTAATTGCATTACATTTCAATAAAGAAATTACAAGCATCTAAAATCCACCATATGTAAATGTGCAGCAAATGTGCCATTGATATTTTGTCGCTGTTTACTTTATCTCTTAGATAAGAAACACTCTAGGATTTAAATTATATGCAAGTGTGGTGTTAAAAATGTTAAAAAATGTCAATATGGCAGTTAATTAGGAAGCAAACATTGCATTTACCACACTGATTCGAGTGCTTTCAGGCGCATCCAAGTATTTGTATTTGTTTTTTTTTTTGTCATCATGCAACCGACCAGATACAAATTTTTTAGGTAAGAAGATGCAAAGTGACTACAGGGGCTCAATCTAAGGTTTATCAAACGACGAGAAAACTTTTGTGCGCAAAAAACGACAAAAATAACGACTTTATTTCAACTATTCGTTTATTTCTCCCTCTGCGCGAGTCAGGTTACTAGTTTAATAGCGTAAGCTTCTGTTATTGTACGTCACACGCATCACACACATGACCAGCGTCGGCCAATAGTGAGCCTTCGTGTGACGTAGCTCTACGCTATCACAGTTATTTATTTATTTTTTATTTTTATTTTTTTTTTTTTACAGTTATTTTTGTTTGTTTTGGCGCACAAAAAGTATTCTCGTCGTTTGATAAACTTAAGATTGAGCCACTGTAGTCACTTGAACTATTTTAACGATGTCTTTAAAGACTTTTAGATGCCAGCAAGTGTCATTCCCTCAAGAAGCCTATGGACTAGTATGCAGGAGCGATCTTAATATCGTAAATAATTAGTGTTCAGAAGATGATCTTACGGGTTTGGAACAACATAAGGGTGAGTAAATTTGACAGAATTTTCATTTTTGGGTGAACTAACCCTTTAATGGCAGTGGTTTGCTTTTCAAAATGGTTTGGAAGCACATTTTTATGGATATTTATTTCTTCAAAGAAATCTCAGGTCACTTTTCAGTTGTCACTGTTATTAGCGATGTAGAATTAAAATACTCATTCATTGTTAACCTATTTTATCATTTTGTCTAAACAATATCACCGTTTTTGTTCTTGTTGGAGTAAAATTATTTGCACAAGATTGTTATACTGTCATCACATGAGAAAAGTAAATGTAATTTCATTGGTGAAAAATTTTAGCATCTTCTGGCCTCCATTGCACTTGCACATGAATCATGTTTAATACCTACATTCCATAAACGTTCATCACTTATTACTTTTTTTAAAGATTTAGTTTGGTCGATTTTTGCCTTGATAGGATAGTATAGAGTGGACAGGAGGTGGGAGAGAGAGGGGGGACTGGATCAGAAAAGGTCTGCGAGCAGTGATTCGAACTCGGGTCGTCTGAAGCGCAACGGCACATGTCGCGCTGCCTATGAAGCTATCGGTACCAACTTAATTACATTTCAAGGGATAGTGTACCCACAAATTAAAAAGTGGAACATAAAAGATATTTGAGCAATTTCATAAAAAAAAGTCAATGGACTCGTTTTCTGCAAAAGAAAAACATCCATACTAGTTTGGAGGGTGAGTAAGATGGTGAACTACCTTTAAGCACATTTACACAAAGTAAACATTTCTCATTTCTACTTAAGTAGTGAAAATGACCAATGACCAATGTCCTTAATGTAGAATAATGTGAAATTGAGATGATGTTCCTCGTTTTTCCTGCACACTAACCCTTTTAAAGTGCGTGGGAATGAAAGAAGCATCTAATTAAAGGAAGTGATAATAAATGGGCTTGACTGCATTTTAACTCACATCTACATGCACACAAGAACACTGCTCCAAGCCAGCTCTGTTTGTCCCTGACGCACCGTTATTCACCCCCCATACTGATCTGTCCATCAGTGTGTGAAGGTGTGTGATTTGATTTCTGCTGCTTGTCAGTGTCTCTCTCTCTCTCTCTCTCTCTCTCTCTCAGGCCGCTGCTTTGCTTGCTTTGTGTTGCTTTGCTGTGTTTTGCTTTGCTCTGCTGTGCTTGTGCTTGATGGTTTGCCTTTTAATCATATCCTGCTCTCGTTTTTGTTTGTTTCCTTCTTTTTTGTCATTTCCAGATTTGCATATCCATTCTTCCTACCTCCTTCATTTGCCTTTCCTTCACTGAGAATGGCAAGCGGGCATTCCACTGACAAATTCAGTTTTCTGTACCCAACAGACACCAGTCAGAACGTTAAGAGGTCAGTCTAGTGCTCAGCACCTTCCACTCTGTGTGTGTGTGTGTGTGTGTGTGTATGTATGTATGTGTGTTTGGGTCGAAGTTAATGTACTGTTCACCTTGATGTATGTACGTTTCCAGCTGTTCTGACCTACATACCGGCCAGGCTATGTCATGTTTCTCTCCTCTAGGGTTTGTTTGACCTTGATTTGTTTAGTGTCAGAGCAGCACAGTTTTCACCTGCTCATTTCTATTTTTGTTCCTTTGATCAAGCTTATTAAAGGGGTCATCGAAAAATTCACTTTTATTTGGAGTTTGTATATAATCCATTCAATTTAATTTTTTATTCTTAAAAAGCCTAAACACTCAATCAAGCCGTTTGGAGTTTCTGAGCAATATGACATCATATTGCTCATGCTCCGCCCACGACCACTGATTGACTGTCCCGTATTAACATATTTCTGCCTTCAGCCATTTGTATACTGTCAGCCAAGGCGGCACTTTAAGTGTCTTACACGCCCCATGGGAGAGAGGCTCATTATCATTTAAAGAGACATGCACAGAAACGGGTTGCTGTTTTTGGAGAGCTGTTTTTGAGGAGGTAAAAGGGTGTTGTTTAAAACAACCATTCTTAACCAAAGTATGTACAAACTTTACATAAAGACCCTAAAGAGTCAGACCAACTTGTGGAAATGGGCATCCGATGATGACCCCTTTAAAGACATGCAATTTCATTCACAACCCTTTTTACTTTTATATTGATGATGATGTGATAGATATTAGGCACATCTTTGTGTTATTTGCTTGATTTAATTGATTTGGAAAATGGCCATTCCTTTTTTTATGTATATTGCTGTCCTGTGATGCAAATCTGAATTTTCAGCATCATTACTCCAGTCTTCAGTGTCACATGATCCTTCAGAAATCATTCTAATATGCTGATTTGCTGCTCAAGAAACATTTCTTATTATTATCAATGTTGAAAACGGTTGTGCTGTTTAATATTTCTGTGGAAACCATGATAAACAATGTCAGAAATGTTTGATGAATAGAATCGAATAGAAGTGTTTTTTTTGTTTGTTTTTTTTTTACATACAAATATTTTGTAACATTAAAAATGTATTTACTGTCACTTTTGGTCAAATTAATCCATCTTTGCTGAATAAAAGTATTGATTTCTTTAAAAAAGAAAAAAAAAACCTCTTACTTCTGAATGTCCCAAAGATATGAAAACCCAGCCAGTATAATCACAATGAAAGAATCCAAACTACAATATTTAACAACTGCACAGCGTCCAATATGTAAAACAAAATGATTTTTGCATCAAATCCAGCATAAACTCTGGCACAACCTGCATATTTATTATTAAACGCTCTAGACAGACGTCACTAGCACCTGAACCTTAAAGCGATTGCTGCCATTGGCATTTTTTCGCTTGATATTTTGCATACATTTTAGAACTGCCCAGCGTTTTGACACTCTCCGGTCCACTGTCAATCCCATAATGCTCTGTGCAAACTTGAAGCTCAACTTCCATAGGAGTGGATTGAAAATGCTTGCTCTGCGCAAGCATTTTCTCTGCTCTGCGCTAGTGTGCAATCATCTAGTCAAGCAAATTTTAATTATTCAGTTAGTTGCAGAAGAATGAAATTTCCTCCGGAAGTGGAAAAGTCACGCAGTCCGCGGCAGACAGATCTTTAAAGGGTTAGTTCACCCAAAAATCTAAATTAAGTCATTAATTACTCACCCCCATGCTGTTCCAACCCCGTAAGACCTTCGTTCATCTTCGGAACACAAATGAAGATATTTTTGATTGAATCTGAGAGCTGGATCACTCCTCCATAGACTGCCTAAGGGACTGGCTCTTGACGGCCCATAAAGTCATTAAAGAAAAGCTTTAAATATTCCATGTGCCTACAGCGGCTCAATTATAAGTTTATCAAGTAGGGTTGTGCCGATAGACGATAGTATCGTGTATCGACGATAGTCTGACATATCGCCGATGGCAGATGCCTTTGACGATATCAATACGATAATTGGCTCGTTTTACCATAATGTATTAAATTATTATTATTAGGCCTATTATTATTATTATAAAGCTAGTATTGTTATTAAATGAATATTGGGAACTACAATCAATTTGCCTTGCCTAAATTTACAACGACATCACCTCATAACAATTGCAACAACACATGCACTAATGAGGACTCCTCTAAGAGAATGTTTTTAAAACAGACTAAAAAACATCCCACATCAAAATTTAATTGCAAGGTGATCCATTCACAAATTATCAAGTGTGCTCGTTTTAACAGACGCAAAATTCAATTTCCTACAGATCCGAGATGAAAACGGCATCGTTGTTCGTCAGTATTTGTTTCCGTAACACATTAACAAAACGTTTAACACTAAAAACAATACAATTACTAAATAGTATCAATAATAATATCACTAAAATAGTATTATAGTTACCGTTATCATCGTCGTCTCTGAGGGAACGCGGCGTTAATGCAGATGCCGAAAGCAGTCCGTTTTTACTTTCACTTTCAGAGATTGAGCGCGTTTACATGCGACGACGTTCTTAACCTGATTATGTTGAATAAACTTGACAATGCATGTGGTCATGTAAACGTTTCCTTTATCAGAGTCAAGTCATAAGTATAAGTATAAACCGATCGACTCAGCTAGACGTTTGGCCCTTGCTCTTGTTTCTCCCGGCATTTAAAACACATTAACCCGCGTACTTCGTGCTTACTGAAGTGCGCATGTGAAGTGCGCAGCCAGAGAGCGCACTGGTAACGTTAGGGGGGCACATATCGCAAACTCCGACTTTTTCTGACCCAAGAAATTATTAAAACGTGTTTTCATCTCGTGCAGAAATAGGCCCTAGTCAAAATGCTGCATGTAACGGCATGAGGATAGGCTAATGTGTCCGTAAATTTCCCGTTGACAAACAAAAGGATTAGGATCTCTTTTTTTTTTTTACCTCTATACCAGGAAATAACCTGATCCTATTAATAAACACTCCACCTTTGCTAGCAAAATAGAAAAAAGATTCTCGTATATAAAACGAAGTAGGCTAATAATACAAGCAAATTAATGAGTAGGCTAAATAATTAAGTTAATAATCAAATGTTAGCCCCGCCCCCTCACGATACTATCGTGTATCGCCGATCTCACAGGCTGACGATAGGACGATATGAAAATGGAGCATATCGCCCAACACTATTATCAAGCAGCGAGACTACTTTTTATGCGAAAAAACATAAATAACGACTTAATTCGACTATTCTATTACTTCCTTATGGGCGCATGCGCGAGAACTGAGACAAGGACGTTCTTCTCCTTCGACTACTTTTTGTTACCGGCTACTCACCGCTTAGGAGTTTTACCGCCACCTACCGTATAAGATGATGTGCTGATATAGCTGGAAGCGCAAAACTTTCTGTTTACAAGCAGAGGAAGATGCGTGCTGTACATACGCTTTTCAAATGGCGTATTTTCCGCACTACAAGGTGCACTTAAAAGCCTTTAATCTTCTAAAAAAATGACAGTGTTCCTTATAATCCGGAGCGCCTTATATATGGATCATCATTTTATACGGTAGGTGGCGGTAATACTCCTAAGCGGAGCAGCCAGTGACAAAAAGTAGTCGAAGGAGAAGAACGTCCTCGTCTCAGTTCTCGCGCATGCGCCCATAAGGAAGTAATAGAATAGTCAAATTAAGTCGTTATTTATGTTTTTTTCGCACAAAAAGTAGTCTCGCCGCTTGATAAACTTATAATTGAGCCGCTGTAGGCACATGGAATATTTAAAGCTTTTCTTTAATGACTTTATGGGCCGTCAAGAGCCAGTCCCTTAGGCAGTCTATGGAGGAGTGATCTAGCTCTCAGATTCAATCAAAAATATCTTTATTTGTGTTCCGAAGATGAACGAAGGTCTTACGGGGTTGGAACAGCATGGGGGTGAGTAATTAATGACTTAATTTTCATTTTTGGGTGAACTAACCCTTTAACACTGTTTTGGTCCATTTGGTAATTTCAGTATGTCAGCCATCATTCACCAACCTTTCTTCTGTAAAATAAAGAAAACAAACACGACACACTTTTACTGTCTTGGTCTCTGTGTGAACTTCTGGAGCCCATCACAAAAATTAAACAAAACTCATACAAGTGCATTCTTGCCTCACATATTCTATATGTGATGCGATCTGGGAAAACCCGTCGGATGTCGCGCTGGTATGTTTTCAGTAAGGTCTAAATATAGATTGAATGTCAGTTTTTTGTCAAAATTGGGTTTTTTTTTAAATAATCTTGTTTATCATCTCTGAATATATCTTGGGAAAATTCACAAGTTTAGTGCATAAAAATAGCGATTTATAATAGCCATCTGAATAGACTGTTTCTCTTTAAGAACACGCACGGCGGAGCCGGAGCGGGAGGGCAAAAAACAATATCTCCCATTTAGCTCTCCTTCTCTTAACACTACAAAGACAGTTCACCTATCAAAATAAACCACATAACAGAATAAAGTCTAGTTCTGGGTGAACTACAACAGCCCGCAAGTTTTTATTTATTTATTTTTATCCAGCGTTATCGTGTGGTGTGATGCGGAGCACAAGAGAACAACAGAGTTTGAAGCTGCTCGCTCAAAAGACCTTGCTCGCCTCTCAATCGTCCAATTTCAAAACAGGAAATTGTTTTCACAGGTTGAATTTTGAGTTTGTAAGCTTTCGAATGATACCTAATCTATGTTGATTACTAAAATATGTGATATGAAAAAAGGCAATAAAAAAGGGAGCGCCAGTCGTCCCGCTAGCAGGACGTGACCGTTAATTAAACCTGTTTTTCTCAAAATTCCATTTCTGAAAATTATAGTGATCAGCCGACTTCAGATAACATAACAGAAAAACGATAAAAGAAATAAAAACAGATTTGGAAAGGGCTTGAGCCCAGCTTTAATAGGGTCTCACCTGTAATATGTCAAATTTCACCATGTGGTGGGTTTTCCCAGATCGCATCACAT